TTTATTTTATTTTTATTTTAATTTATTTTTATTTAATTCTATTTTTTTATTTACTATTTAATTTTAATTTTTATATTTAAATTTTTTAAAAATATTTTGTATTTTACTTATTTTATGTATTTTTATTAATTTTTATTTTCTATTTTAATTTTATATCTAATTTTACATTTGAATTTTATTAATTTTATTAAATTTATTTTATTAATTTTATTTTTATTCTACTTTAATTTTTATCTTATTTCTTTTATTTATATTCTAAATTAATATTTATGTTAATTATTGTTGTGTTTTATTTAGTTTAAATTTTATTTTACTGTAATATTTTACTTTAATTTTATCCTATTATTTTATTTGCTTTTTATTGTAATACTTTATTTTATTTTAATTTTATCTTATTTTTTATTTTTATTGTAATATTTTATTTCTATTCTAATTTAATATTTATGTTAATTATTGTTATGTTTTATTTAGTTTAAATTTTATTTTACTGTAATATTTTATTTTAATTTTATCCGAATATTTTATTTGCTTTTTATTGTAATACTTTATTTTAATATTTTATTTTAATTTTATCTTATTTTTTATTTTTATTGTAATATTTTATTTCTATTCTAATTTAATATTTATGTTAATTATTGTTATGTTTTATTTAGTTTAAATTTTATTTTACTGTAATATTTTACTTTAATTTTATCCTAATATTTTATTTGCTTTTTATTAATACTTTTTATTATAATATATATAATATAATACTAAAGTATTAATAATATTTTTATTAATACTTTATTTTATTTTAATATTTTATGTTGATTTTAGCTTAATCTTTTCTTTTTATTGTAATTTTATTTTATTTTATTTTATTTTATTTTATTTTATTTTATTTTATTTTATTTTATTTTATTTTATTTTATTTATCAATTTGGATGTTTCCCCTAGGCCAGAGCAGTCTGCCAAGCCCAGAGAATGTGCAGGTCCATGTGGTGAACACCAATTTCACGCTGAGCTGGGATTACAACGGGAGCAATCCCAACGTGACATTTTCAGCAGAATTCCAGTGGTGAGTGACTTTCCTGGTGTAACTTTTCTCTAAAAAATCCTGTTTCTCTGATTTTGCTGCATTTCTTCTGTATTTTTCTTTTTCTTCCTGGATTTCTTAGTCTCTTTTGGATTGAATTCTTTTGGGATTCTCCCTCATGGGGAGCTCTGCTTATCTCAGTTCTTGTGATTTGAAGAAAACTCCCGAGCTCGTTAAAATCTCGTTTCTGGTGTTTATTGGAAGGTCATCACAAAACTTGGCAGGTCTCTCCAGACTGATTGCACAAGTCTAAATCACTGCAATCTGGTACATTTCTTTTTTCTGATGGTACAACAAGGCTTTGTGGCTCACTTCGTGTCTGAAGCACAAAATGGTCCTGAACTACGCAGTTCTTTTATCTTTATACCTATTTTTTACCCAATTAACAATAAACATGTATATTATTTTTCTTAATGACCCAATAACTCTTCACCTATGTGCTGCACTGTGACATTTTCTAACCAATCAATTACTATTACCTAAAAACCTCTAGGAGAAGAACATGAAGAAAAAAGAAGGGACAAGAGACAACACCCTAAATCCTCCGTTTTGTCTCCTGTTCTCTAAACTAGCTTTTTCACTCAGTGACTTAAGAAAACTTTCTAATTTACACACTCACACTTTTAACTTTTCCTATCTAACTTTAACAGTGGTTTACATGTATCACCATGAAAACACGCTCATGAATTTCATATTGTGTGAAATTCAGTGTTTTTCTGGATCTTAGAACTAAGTATCAAAAACAAGGGCACACACTCTGTATCCCAGACTCCAACACCTGGGAGCCAGGAATGGCTGAGTCTGCTCTGGCTCCTTCCAGGCATTGCTGGGCTGCTTCATCCTGCTTGTGAAGCTTCCAGGGAAAGGCAGGAAAAGCAGGGTGGGAAATGAATCATTGGGATGGGGGTGAGTTGTCTCATTCCTGTGAGAAATCAGATTATTTATCATGGAATTTATCACACAAGGAACGCAGAGCTTGCTGCTAATGATGAATCAGCAGAAGGGTTCTTGCAGAAGATTTATTGGCACACTTAGAATTTAGATTTATTTAGTCTGTGGTTTGTTTGTGTGGCCACACGCAGAGGATTTGGGGGGAATTTTCAGCATAACTTTAAACTAATTTCTCAGTGTTCATTAACCCACATTTCTTGGCTGCAGGTTTAATCCCCAGATGAAACAATTTAAGATTTGTTCTTAAATATTTGCTTGGTTTCCTTCAGTAGTTCCACATCCCAGTTCTTTTGTATGCACGTTTTATGACGCATTCCTGACAAGTAAATATTGAAAACCATTTCTGAGATAAAATTACTGAAATTCTGAGCAACCTGGGATCGTGGCAGGTTCTCTGCCCATGGCAGGGGGGGAATGAGATGGGCTTTAAGGGAGGATAAACAATTACTGCTTCAAGTCTGTGTCTCCGTTTTTTGGCCAGGATATTTTAAATGTCTCTGTAAATCTCTTTCTTTACTGAGATGTGGATATGTGTTAATTAAAAAAGAGCTGCTGAAAACCTAATTATTGCTCCACTTTTCACCTCTCTGTTTTTATTTGCCCTTAATTTGCATTCCTGGCTCATGTTATAATTAGTGGAGTTCTGCTGGTTTTATGCTCCTTTAACCACTTTTGTCAAGACTTTAAAATTTCTTCCCATGAATTATAAAATCTTTGCCAGACTAGGAAATATAATAATCCTGAGGGTGTCATTCTTTATTCTGGCAGTTGTAGGATGATTTATAAGGACATAACACTGACTGCACTGGTGATAAAGCAGCACGAAAAGGGGTGACATTCATTAAAGTTAAGGAGAACAATAATAATTTCAGGCTTTAACTGTGGGTTGAATTTATCCTTGGTCTGTTTATCTGGGAGGGGCTGTTTATCCTGGGGTGTTGTTTATCCGGGGGTGTTGTTTATCCTGGGGTGTTGTTTATTTCGGGGTGTTGTTTATTTCGGGGTGTTGTTTATTTCGGGGTGTTGGTTATCCCGGGGTGTTGGTTATCCCGGGGTGTTGGTTATCTCAGAGTGTTGTTTATCCCTGTGTTGGTTATCCCGGTGTTGGTTATCCTGGTGGTGTTGTTGATCCCTGTGTTGTTGATCCCTATGTTGGTTATCCCGGTGTTGTTGATCCCGGTGTTGATGATCCCGGTGTTGTTGATCCCAGTGGTGTTGGTTATCCCTATGTTGGTTATCCCTGTGTTGGTTATCCTCGTGTTGTTGATCCCGGTGTTGTTGATCCCGATGTGTGTTATTGATCCCGGTGTTGTTGATCCCGGTGTTGTTGATCTCAGTGTTGTTGATCTCAGTGTTGTTGATCCCAGTGTTGTTTATCCCAGGCTGTTGTTGATCCCGGTGCTGATGATCCTGGTGTTATTGATCCCAGTGGTGTTGTTGATCCCGGTGGTGTTGGTTATCCCGGTGTTGTTGATCCCGGTGTTGTTGATCCCGGTGTTGTTGATCCCTGTGTTGTTGATCCCGGTGGTGTTGGTTATCCCTATGTTGGTTATCCCTATGTTGGTTATCCCTATGTTGGTTATCCCCGTGTTGGTTATCCTGGTGTTGTTGATCCCGGTGTTATTGATCCCGGTGTTGTTGATCCCGGTGTTGTTGATCCCGGTGTTGTTGATCCCGGTGTTATTGATCCCGGTGTTGTTGATCCCGGTGTTGTTTATCCCAGGCTGTTATTGATCCCGGTGTTGTTGATCCCGGTGTTGTGTTGTTGATCCCGGTGTTGTTGATCCCAGGCTGTTGTTGATCCCAGGCTGTTGTTGATCCCGGGCTGCTCTCTGTCCCGCAGGCCGGAGCTGGAGGACACGGGCTGGCAGGAGCTGCGGGGGTGCCAGGCCGTGCTGGGCACCGCCTGTGACATCTCAGCGGCCATCTCCGAGTACTACGACCTCCACTTGGTGCGCGTGAGGGCTCAGGCGGGGCCGCGGGCATCGCCGTGGTCCGGGATCCTGGAGATGGTGCCGGAACACATCGGTACGAGCTCTGGGGACACCGTGCTTCCTTCTGCACCTCAGGGCACGCTTCTGCTCCCTGCCCTGCTCACCTGAGACCCCACCTGCAGAGCTGCCCCAGCCCTGGGGCCCAGCCCAGGGAGCTGCTGGAGCTGCTGGAGAGAGCCCAGAGGAGGCTCCAGGATGAGCAGAGGGATGGAGCAGCTCTGCTGGCAGCAAAGGCTGGCACAGCTGCCATTGTTCAGCCTGGCCAGGAGAAGCTTTGGGCTGAGCTCAGGGTGGCCTTGCAGGGCCTGAAGGAGCCCCAGGAAAGCTGGAGAGAGACAATTGCCAAGGGCTGCAGGGCCAGGAGCCAGGGAATGGCTGCCAGGGGCAGAGGGCAGGGCTGGATCTTGGGATCTTGGGCAGGAATTGTTCCCTGGCAGGGTGGGCAGGGGCTGGGATGGAATTGCCAGAGCAGGTGGGGCTGCCCCTGGATCCCTGGCAGTGCCCAAGGCCAGGCTGGACATTGGGAGCTCCTGGGACAGTGGGAGGTGTCCCTGCCATGGCAGGGCTGGGAATGGGTGGGATTTGGGGTCCTTCCCAACCTGAAGCAGTCTGGGATTAGGGATTGTGGAAAAACCACGTGTGGTTTGCACTGCAGGACAGGATGGGTTTCCCAACAGGAACATAACACCAGGCATCTGCAGGTCATGGAATGCTGCAATTCTGTCTTTTCTGGAAAGGGAAAACTGTTCCAAGTGCTGCTGGTTTCCTGTCTGAATTTCCTGTCACTCATGCATTTTCCCAGATTATTTCTTGGAAAAATCCTTTTTTACAGTAGATTTTTATAGAATCCCAAACCAGTCTGGTTTGGGAGAGACCTTAAAGCCTATCCCATTCCACCCCCTGCCATGGGCAGGGACACCTTCCATAGACCAGGTTGTTCCAAGATCCCTTTTTTGGGAAGTTTGTGGCTTTTCAGCAATTCCAGTGTGGTGCTGAAGCCCTCCTCTGATGCTGGATTTATTTGAGCTAAGCCTCTTGCCTTGCAGGATTTAGAATAATTTATACTGATTTATTTGGAGAACATTTGCTGGTAATATTTCATTTTAACTTCTTTTAGAGCCAGGTGAGGGTAGTTGGTTGTTAGGTTAAATTTCTTTTAGAAACTGCCTGAGTCATGAAAACATTCTGTAAGTGATCATTCAAAAGAATTAAAAATAAGTTACCATAGGCAGGTATTTTAGGTGTTTTTAGGGGGTATTTTCTCAAAGCAGACATGTTTAACTTCTTTTTTTGGCCCACCAGGACTGGAATTGCAGTCCACAAATGGAGTCATAAAAGTTAAGGTTTCTCCTCCAGAAGAAAATCAGAGGAAAAAGATGTGGATCAACGATCTGAGTTTTAAATATAACCTGGTCTTCTGGGAAAACTCATCACATGCTCAGGTATGAGCACTTCTTTTTTTGTTGTTTAACCTCAGCAGAACTGCTCTGAAATGGAATTGTTTGGTTCTGTCACTGTGTGACTGCTCCTGTGGGGTTTGAAACGTGGTTATTTCTTGGTGGGATGATTTTGTTCCTAATGTAGGATTGTTTTATTGGGATTGCCCTGATCCAGAGGTTTTTTTGGGGTGTTGCATTGTGAACTGGTTTCCAAGGCATCGTGTGAGCACCCAGAGCTCTCCTGTGAGGAGCAGGGCAGAAACTCTTCCTTTTTTTATCTTTATTAGGGAAATGAGTGTCATCTAAAGTAGGGCAGGGATTGAAGGGCAGTCTGTGTTCTTTTAGGAGATCAGATCAAAATCATCACTTCAGAAAGGACCTGGAGGGGCTGGAGCGTGTCCAGGGCAGGGAATGGGACTGGGAAGGGGCTGGAGAATTCCTGAGGGAGCTGGGAAGGGGCTGGAGAATTCCTGAGGGAGCTGGGAAGGGGCTGGAGAATTCCTGAGGGAGCTGGGAAGGGGCTGGAGCCCCAGGAGGGGCTGAGGGAGCTGGGAAAGGGGCTGAGCCTGGAGCAAAGGAGGCTCAGGGGGCCCTTGTGGCTCTGCACAAGTCCCTGGCAGGAGGGGACAGGGACAGGAGGAGAGGGAACGGCCTCAAATGGCACCAGGGGAGGCTCAGATTGGAGATTTGTAAAGAAAATTTCCCTCACAGAGTGGTCAGGCCTTGGGATGAGCTGCCCAGGGAGGTTTGGAGTGGCTGGAATTGTCCCAGAGGAGTTTGGATGTGGCCCTTGGGGACAGGGTTTGGGGTGGTGCTGCTGGGTGGTCCTGAAGGGCTCTTCCCACCTCTGGGATTTTGGGATTCCACATCAAAGGAGCAAAAGGCCCCTAAGTACAAGTTGTGCATGAAGTCACCACAAAAAGCAGAGGAGAGAGCAGTGTTTGGATGATGGAGGGATGGGAATGTTCTGGTTCTTTCTGGAATATCTGTGGGGTGAATTCCTGGGCATGCCAAATCCCTCCCCTCTTCCATGGCAAAGGAGCCCAAAATGTTCCTGCCTGTCAGTCACTGGCTGAACTGGGAACTTCCCTTTAGGATTTCTCCAAACACTGTCCTGCTTTCTCTATTTTTACCTTTTTACATAAAAGTAGATACATAATGTATAATAATATCATTAACAACATAAATAATTTTATTATTATTTATAATAATATCTTAAACAAAAAATTAATAATAAATAATATTACTTATAATATAATTCTAATTTTATAATTGATAAATAATATAATTATTAATAAATTAATAATTATAATTAATTGTTTTAGTTAATTTTTAATATTTTAATATGTAATTTTACTATTTATTAAATTTAATATTTAACATAATTATATTTAATTTAATATTTTTATTAATGATTTTTGAATAATTTTTATTTTATAATTTATAAATAGTATGATATAATTTATATAATATTATATTATATTAGTATATAATAATGAATTAATATTTAAATAATGAATTAATATTTATAGTATTATTTATAAGTAATAATATAATTTATATTATACTTATAATATATAATAATATTAATAATATTAATAATATTTATATTATAAATATAATATTAGATAATATAATAATATTAATATTTATAATAATATAAGTATGTTATAATTTAGAAACAATATCATATAATACAATATGTATTTTATATATATATATAATACAAATGGGCTGAAACCCTGCAAAATTTCCATTTATAAATGTTCCTGGGGAAGCACAGTTGCCCTCACAATCTCTTTGTGTTTGTTTCTTCCAGCTGCAGAGTAAAATCATTTTCCCTGTTGACACCATCGATGATCTTGCCCCTGACAGCAGCTATTGCTTCAAGGTTCAAGCAAATCTCCCCAGGGAGGGGAAGCAAGGCTTGTTCAGCCCCATCAGCTGTGTGAAAACCACCCAGAAAGGTACCCAGGGAATCTGCAAAGGGTGGCTGAAATTAAATTGGCACACAGTCAGTTGTTCTGAAGCAACAGAAATAGGCAGAAGGGCCAAGTTCCTCCTCACTTTGGTATAAAAAATATATATATTATGTACATTTACCCCTCTCAATCAACATAAAATATGTCAGGGGTAGAGTTTTAATAGTACAAAAAGGTTTTTGCCATGAGTCGAATTTTGACATTAATTTGGAACAAAAACTTCTTTGTGTGCTTTGGAAACTCTTTTTTTGGAATCAGTGACTGAATCAGGAGGGAAAAAAAAACAAACCAAAAGCCTCTGGGATATTTGGCATTCAGTGAATGACAGAAAGTTGAGCTGAATTTAAAAGTGCTAGTTTTATATAATCCTCAGTGAATTGGTTGTTAGGTCATATCCTTGATGGGGAATCCCAAGTGAGAAACAGATAAATTTTAAAAACAGATAAATAAAAGAGATCATAAGTAGCTAAATAAATAGATAAATAATAGATAAATAGATGATAAATAATAAAAAATAGATAATAAATAAATAATAGATAAATAGCTCATAAATAGATAATAAAGAGATAAATAATAGCTCAATAGCTTATAAATAGATAAATAATAGAAAACAAATAGGTAAATAATAGATAAATAGTTATTAAATAGATAAATAACTAATTGTGGAAAGTCAAATATTAGACTGGAGTAGTACATCATAATTAGTTGATGGTACATCAAAATGGAAATAATTGATGGTGAATGAAAATTACTTTATACACAAAATACATTAATTAATACACATCTGTGTCTTTAAAAATATTCAAAGAATACATGTCCATTTTTAAAATATTAAAATAATTAATACATGTGTATCTTAATAAAACATTACAATAACTGATACAAGCAAGTTTTAATTATTTTAATGTGATATTAAAATAATTGTCACATTCATATTTTAATAAAACATTAAAACCAAAAATATCAAAATGTACAATAATACAGATGTGTATTTTATACATTTTTCTCCTCATGTTATTCCCAATCCAGTTTATTTCTGCTCCTCTCAATATTTGTGCACTTAAACCTTTTTCTGAACTGATTTTCAGCTGATTTTTTAATTAAAGGCTTGACAGGGTGTTTTACATATCCCAGCCTGTGACTTGCAATCTATATATATATATATAGATATCTATCTATCTATCTATCTATCTATCTATCTATATTGCAATCTATATCTATATATAGTAAATATAAAATTATAAACATATGTGTATATAAATATATATACATATCTATAAATATATAAATTAATATATATCAAATATATATGTTATATCTTTATGTATATGTATTTATACATTTATTATTTTATATATATTAATATTTTATATATAAATTAATATTTATAGTAAATATATAAAATAATAATAAATATAAAAGAATAAATATAAATATATAAAATATGCATTTATATATCTTTATATCTATATATTAAATAATGTAATATAATGTAATATATTACAATATAATGCAATATAATGTAATATAGTATAATTTAACATAATATATAACTAGAAATAGTAATTATAAATATAAAATAAATATATACAAATAATGTATAATATATATATATATACATATGTGTATATGTGTGTGTATATATATATATATAATCTTTTATAATGAATAATCTTTATGTTTTCATTATTGACATGAAATTCCCTGTCCACAAAATGAAGTTTTTTGGTAACTTTGGGTTTCCTTTTCCCCCTGAGCAGTGAACAACCCCCTGTGTGCAACCAACCTGAGCATCCTGGCTTTGAACATGAATTTCCACCTGCTCTGGAGTACCCAGGAGAAGCAGGAGGTGAACTACAACGTGCAGTACCTCCAGTGAGTTCAACCTTTCCCATCCCTGCCATTTGAAATCCCATTTCTTGTGTTCTGCCAGTATTTCCTCCAAGTTCAAATGAAATATTTGGTGGCTTTGTCTATTGGCTCATTGCTGGGAAAAGAATTCCATGGAATACCCGAGCCTGGAATTTTTGGGGGTGTTAAACTCCTGATGGCAGGGACTCCTGAATGCTTGGGGACATTTTTCAAACTGGGAAGCTTGAATTGCTTAGTGGCATTTTGAATGGGAAGAAATTAGATGAGTAGAGGTGAGCAAAAATCCAGGTGTTGGGAGGCTTCAGTTGTGGGCAGCTTGGATTTCCTCTGGGCAGACCCAAATAGGGCAGAAAACCCAAGGCAGCATGTCAAAAACTGTATCTCATTTTAAAGAATTGTATCACATTAAAAAAAGGTTGTATCTCATTAAAGAAAGGTTGTATCACATTAAAAAAAATGTTGTATCACATTACAAAAATGTTGTATCACATTAAAAAATGTTGCATGACATAAAAAGTCCATCAAGTCATATAAAAACCCCCTCATGTCACATGAAATATCACATCAAACCCCATCAGATCACAGACGAAACACATCCAAAAAAGTCCCATTTAGAAGCAGTTCTGTAAAGCTGTATCTCAATCTCCAGCTGTTGCATAAATATTGTGGCCAGCACCTAACTGAAGAGGAGGGATCCCCCTGGCATTCCTTGGGAATTCTTTTGGCATGACAGGAAAGCAATGGACAACGGAGCTACGTGAGAACTTTTCATTTGGATTTTCAGAACCTGAGCACCCCACATTCCATTTTCTCTGCTGAGGTTTGGTTAAAGCCCTGATTTGTATTTCCTGGCCCTTCTGTCTTCATTGTTTCACTCAGAAATGTCTCATATTAAAATCTTGATTTATTTAATTTTTATTTTTATCAATGGAGGCCTTTTTGCCCCAAACTGAGCCAAGTGCAGCACGAACAAACGTGATTTTCTCCAGGAGTTGAGGGAGCTCACATCAAAACTCCTGGGTTCTCTCTTGCAGTGGGTTCCTGAAGAGGCTCAATGATGATCACTCAGACAAGTGGCTCAGTGTCCCCAGGTGTGAGAACATCACCAGAACCTGGTGCAACTTCTCCTCCATCATCACCAACATGGGATTTTATTATCTGCGAGTGCAGGCCAGGAGGGGCAGCAAATCCTGTTTGTCCAGGGAAGTCCAAGTGGATCCTCTGAAAATAAGTAAGGAAATTGTTTCCTGAAATGTTCATTGCTCAGCAAACTCCTGCCAAATGTCTTTATGAGCTGACAGGAGACTGGAGAGGGGATTCCACAAGAATATAGTGAGAATAATTGAAATATTTCTCAGGACTTGATATTTTGAATAAAACGATGAAATTATACTTTTAACTGTGTATTTCTTAAAAATTATGGTGGATTTCACTGCATTTGAAGCAATGTTTTTAGTTGTATTTTTTTTTTCAGTTGGATTTTAATTCTTTATTTTATTGTTTTCAGATGGAATTGGCCCTCCTGGTTTAAGGCTGGACCTCAGTGATGCCTCACTCCACATCCTTATTTCTCCTCCAGGAGGAGCTGAGGATGAAGTCACGAGGGACCATTATGACTTGTCCTACAGGATCCTGTACTGGAAAAAATCCTCTGAGGTGTGAACTAACTAAATACAATATAAAATAGATTCTGACTTAAATCCTGAGTTTCAGTCCTCCCTGAGGAGCTCCTTTCCAAAAGAGGCACATTTGTGGTGTATCAGTCTTTAAAATGTCAATTTATTGGGTTTTTTAGTGAAAGAGTCTGTCATAAACCCCATCACTGTGACTTTTATCACCCTGCAGTTGATATTTTCATGTAACTCTCTTAGAAATCTGGTCACTGATTTTTATCTCCCAATGATGGGTTAAAATCTCAATTTCCATGGATGTGGTTGTGTGCAACGTGATGGAAAAACTCCATCCAGCACTGAAGTCCTGCATGCTTTTAGCCCACATTTTAATGGATCTTTCCATGTTCTTTAAATACTCCTTAGGGTAAAATATTTCACAGTAATTGGTGGGGGGCAGAAGAGAAGGAAGGAGTTTCCTTGAAACTTGGAATTGTGACATTTCAGAATGGGGAAAGCGCCTGGGTCTTGGCCAGGAAGTGTTTGCTGAATTTTGCTTGGGAGCTAAGGGGTGGTTTGTTCATTTTATTGAACCTGGTGCCCAGGGAGGTGGTGGAAGTGTTCCAGAGGCATCTTGGGGTGCTGCTGGTGGGACTGGGTGAGCTGGAAAGTCTCTGCAGCCCTGCTGATCCTGGGCTTGCAGCAAGGTCTGACATTTCAGAGTCCCTTCTCCAGCAGAGGCTGCAGTTCTCACCCATCCATGTCCATCTAATCCCGCCTTTTCTCCCTTTTTTTTTGTTTTTCTTTTGCCAGGGGGAGGTGAAGCAGAAGGAGGTGAAGCAAACCATAGCCACAGTCCCTGATGTGTCCCCCTCCACCCTGTACTGTGTCAAAGTCCAGGCTTTCTCTAAGCCCTACAACAAGAGCAGTGCCTACAGCCAGCAGGAATGCATCCACACCCCTGCAGGTGGGCTCAGCCTGGCCAAGCTTCCCCCCTGCAGCTGGAATCCTTCCCCCTTCACTGGGAACTCACAGCTCAAAACTCCTGGGAGCACCTGGCTGGGCAGAGAGCTTCACTCCACCCAGTCCTACAGCTTGGGAGGGAGCAAGGAATGCCTAAATTCCATGTTTTATCCTTGTCCTTCTGGGAATCAGTCTCCTGTGCTGAAGAGTGAGGAGATAAATCAGATTTGTTAGGGCTGAAAGCTCATCATGGTGAAAAGGGACTCACTCAGAACATAAAACTCAGAACAGAAAACTCACTCAGAACTCTCTCAGAGCAGAAAACAAATCATGGTGAAGATAATTGGCCACATAAAATTTTATTAGCACTATCAAAATTTCTGACTCTTCAAACTGCCTTAAAGCTAAGAACATGTGATAACAGCAATGCCTGGCTCATATTCAGGACTATTTACCTATCTATTACTCTTCCCCTTATCCTTCTATTTCAATGGCTGTCTTTAAATCCAAGCAGTGCCTTCAAGAGAGACCATGCCCTGTCTTTCCAATGTTTTTATACCCCAGAGTGGGAACCTTCCATCCTTTGGTCATGAAGTAAAACCAGATTATATCCTTTGGATTACTTGGAAAGTGGCTGCTGGTGCCTGTTAATTTTAGTTTCAGCAGACTCCTTTCAGCTTGTTGAGACAGTCCTGGAACCATGGAATGGTTTGGGTGGGAAGGACTTTGAAGATCGTTTCATTCCCAGCCCAGCCATGGCAGGGACACCTCCCACTGTCCCAGGAGCTCCCAATGTCCAGCCTGGCCTTGGGCACTGCCAGGGATCCAGGGGCAGCCCCAGCTGCTCTGGCAATTCCATCCCAGCCCCTGCCCACCCTGCCAGGGAACAATTCCTGCCCCAGATCCCAAGATCCAGCCCTGCCCTCTGCCCCTGGCAGCCATTCCCTGGCTCCTGGCCCTGCAGCCCTTGGCCCCAGTCCCTCTCCAGCTCTCCTGGAGCCCCTTCAGGCCCTGCAAGGGGCTCTGAGCTCTCCCTGCAGCTTCTCCTCTCCAGCTGAGCACCCCCAGCAGGTGATGGTGGGACTGGGTCATCTTGGAGGTCTCTTCCCAGAATCCCAGAGAATCTTTGGTGATTCTGTGTTCTTGTGTTGGAGAATATTTTGTGGCTTCTTTAAGCAAAATTATCTCACATGCTGGCACAGCATCGGTTTTCCCTGGTGCCTGTGGCTGGGTGATGTGGGAATGTTGAATTATTGAAATTATTTGATAAATTCTGCAGCACAGTTGGAGCTGTTTTTTAATTTCTGCTGGTTCTGACTACCTTGACTGAATGGTTTTTATTCCCAAATTTAGGTTCACGTTTACCTCTGATCATTTTTGGGATTTTCATGGGTGCCCTGCTGGTTGTCCTGTTCGTGGCCAGTCCTCTTGTTTTTATGCTCTACAAAGCCTACAACAAAATCAAATACGTGTTCTTCCCCTCCTGCCAGCCCCCCCTGAACATCGAGGTGAGCTCTGACTTCTCAGCCATTAAACAACTTCTTTGTAGGAAAATGAACTTTAAATATCATGGGAAAAAAAGGTGTTTATCTTTTATGGGTCAAGCCAGGGTTCCTTTTAGAGGTTTTATCAGTGGTCTCCAGACCTTTGTCCCATCTCCAGCTGGTGCTTGGCAGGGATCCTGTTTTAGAATGAAAAGGGCAACATTCATGTCCTGAAATATCTATACCCAGGTTTTCTTTTCATTCTTGTGTGGCCTCCTCAGGTTCTAATGGATGTAATGTTGCAATTTTTTGGTGATTGACAACTGAGAGCAGGAAAAGGGCTGAGATAAAATGTTTTTAGTGTTGGATTCTGTGAATGGAGGTGGGAGCTGGGATCTGCCCCAGGGAACAGGGACAGGAGGAGAGCTCAGGCCTCAGGCTGGGCCAGGGGAGGCTCAGGGTGGGCAGCAGCAGGAATTTGCCCATGGAAAGGGAGCTCAGGCCTTGGCAGGGGCTGCCCAGGGAGCTTTGCAGTGCCCATCCCTGCAGGTGCCCAAGGAAGGGCTGGACGTGGCACTCAGGGCTCTGGGCTGGGGACAAGGTGGGCATCGGGCACAGCTGGGACTCCCTGGGCTGCGAGGGCTTTTCCAGTCCCTGGATCCTGGGATTCTGTGAACTGAACTGAATTGTGAGTTGGTGACCTTAGAGGGAAACAAGAGGTGTGTCAGGGGTAGAAAACCACACGATGCTGCTCAGCATGAACATGGAACCTGGAGTGGCTTGGGTTGGGAGAGACCCCAAATCCCACCCAGTGCCAGCCCTGCCATGGCAGGGACACCTCCCACTGTCCCAGGAGCTCTCAATGTCCAGCCTGGCCTTGGGCACTGCCAGGGATCCAGGGACAGCCCCAGCTGCTCTGGCAATTCCTGTGCCAGAGCCTCAGCACCTTCACAGTAAAGAACCTGATCAATCACATTTGTGTGGTGTTACGCAGAATCACTATTTAATTATTTAAATCAGTGTATAATAATTATTGCTGAATGTTCATCTCTTCTCCTCCTGCAGGGATTTGGAGCACAACCCTTCAGCAGCCCTTACCTGTCAGCTGCAGAGGAACCTGTGGAAAATTGCTGTGTGATCGAATCCGTGATCACAGAAGAGGGAAATCAGATTGATTTTACAGACTACAAACATTCCAAACAGAGCAGTCGAGACTCAGGGAATTATTCCAACGACAACAACTCTTCAGGGAGCAAAGGATCCAAAGAAACACTGGAAAATGAAATCATTTAACTTTGGGAAAGCAAAATTCACTTTATGGGATTGCCAACTTCACAAACACTTCAGACCTCTTTGTGATGGAAATCCCAGCCTGAGGGGAACTCTGAGCTTTGGGATCCTGAGGGGGATTCTGTGATCTTTGGGATCCTGAGGGGGACTGTGTGAGTTTTGGGATCCTGAGGAGGATTCTGTGAGCTTTGGGATCCTGAGGGGGATTCTGTGATCTTTGGGATCCTGAGGGGAACTCTGTGATCTTTGGGATCCTGAGGGGGGCTCTGTGAGTTTTGGGATCCTGAGGGGAACTGTGTGAGTTTTGGATCCTGACAGGGGCTCTGTGAGTTTTGGGATGGCTGGGTTTGGGTTCCCAGGGCTGTCCTTGCTCGGGGATCTCCTCACCCCACTGTCCCCACCCCAGCCAGGGCTGCACCAGGAGCAGCTCTGGGCACTTGAAGCTGCTGAGCTGAGCAGATCCTGCCCTTTCCAGCAGAGAAATCCCTGTGAGCCGAGCAGATCCTGCCCTCTCCAGCAGAGAATTCCTGTGAGCCGAGCAGATCCTGCCCTTTCCAGCAGAGAATTCCCTGTGAGCTGAGCAGATCCTGCCCTCTCCAGCAGAGAATTCCCCGTGAGCCGAGCAGATCCTGCCCTTTCCAGCAGAGAATTCCCCGTGACCCCACAGTGTTTACACAGCCAAAGGCAATCCATGGACACGATCCTCTGGAACTTCCAGCCCCTGGGCAGGGCTGGGCTCAGCAGAGCCGGGGGAGCCACAGGAGCAGCAGTGAGGAGGCTGGGAATCCTCAGGGAATCCTCAGGAGATCCTCAGGGATTCCTCACATGATTCCTCACAGGATTCCTCAGAGAATCCTCAGGGAATCCTCAGGGTTTTCTCAGGAGATCCTCAGGGGATTCCTCAGGGGATCTCTCAGGGATTCCTGACAGGATTCCTCAGGGATTCCTCAGGGATTCCTGACAGAATTCCTCAGGGATTCCTGACAGGATCCCTCAGGGATCCCTCAGGGATTCCTCAGGGATTCCTGACAGGATCCCTCAGGGATTCCTCAGGGATTCCTGACAGGATCCCTCAGGGATCCCTGCTGGCCGTGGCTGGGTTTGGAGCAGGGATGCTGGGAGGTGTCCCTGCCGTGGCAGGGGTGGATTGGGATGAGCTTTAGGCTCTCTCCAGACTCGTTCTGGAACCAGCAGCTGGGATTTGGGAGCTGCCTTCAGCAGAGGGCTGGGCTCGGCACTCGGAGCTCCCCCAGCTCAGTCCTGCTTTGCCAGGAGACATTTCTGGGGCTGAGTGATCAGGATGTGCTGCAGCACGCTGCCCTTCCATATTCCATGGTTTCCATGCTGGCTCCACCGGCTTCCAGAGGCATTTTTCTCTAAGTACCTTATTTTTTAATGAAGAAACTGTTCTGGGCTCAGCTGGGTTTGAGCATCCCAAGGGCTGCTGCTGTTTGTTCTGACCAGGAACTCTTGGTGTTTATAAATCCTTTTTTTAATTTGTGAAGATATTACCTAATTTTGTAAATGTCCTATCCCTGTTTTCATTGAAGAACATAATAAATTTTACACATTTGCTTCTTATCCTTTTCTTGGTTCTGTGTGGTTTTGGTGCAGGGACATGGAAATTCCCATGAGGAGCTGTCCTTCCTGAAAAACCCAGAGTGAGGGATATAATGGAATAGAATTAATCTAAAATATTATTAATATTAAATAGATAATAAATATAATATAAAATATATTATAATAGTATAGAAAACAATATATACATATACTAATAGCATAATACAATACATTAATTACATATATTAATATAATAAACAATATAAATACAATATATATTTAATACATATATTAATATACACTTTAAAATTATTATATTATATTATATTATATTATATTATATTATATTATATTATAATATTTAATCTATTAAATGATATCTTAATTATATATTAATTATAAAAATATAATATATATATTATATTATATTTATTATATTATATTATATTATATTATATTATATTATATTATATTATATTATATTATATTATATTATATTATATTATATTATATTTATATAGAAGTTGAACTAATGGACAAAATAATTGAACAAAATGTTAATTCATGGGAAGGATTTCACTGCCAGATTTTAGGTAAAGCACTCAGTGAGTGAAAGAGGCAGGATAATTCACAGGCAATCCCCATTTTCCTCTGGAATGCAGAAACAAATGGATTAATAATAATAATAATAATAATAATAATAATAATAATCTCTAAATGTGCTTATAGAAAATCTTGTACCAACTCTTTTCAGTGGGACCAGAAGCAGCAAAATCAGAACAGTGAGATGGAAAAACTCCTTGATTCAATAGGTATTTATAATAATGATAACAATAATGATAATTTATTTAGAGTAATTGTATAATTGATGTTATTAATAGGTGGTTTCCTTTTCCTTGCTCCAGATATTCCCAAGGAGATGAGTTTGCTGCTCTTCCCCAGCCTCAAGGATCCATCTCTGGTTCTGCTGTTGATGGAATCCTCTCAGTGCCCTGGGAGCAGTGGATTTATTATCCTTTTATTATTATAAATTTATAATAAATTTCAATTTATTATTATGAATTGATATTTATAATAATTATAATAAAGGATAAAATTGACTTTGGCAGTGCTGGGTGTTTGGCAGCTGGGATTTCACAAGAATCCAGTGAAAATAGAAATATTTCTCAGGATCTGATATCCTGAATAACTGGTGCCAGTTCTTGGGAACCAATTCCCATCCCTGCTTTCCCATTCCATCCCTTCCATCTCCATGAGGATTCCCCAGGTTCCAACATTCCCAGAGGTTCCACTCCCAGCAATTCCACTTGTCTCCTTCACATCCACACCATCCTGCAGGTGGAACTGAAATGGTTTTTCTTTGTATTTTAGATTTTAATTATTTTTAATTTTTATTTCTTTATATTTTGGGGGTTTATTTTTATTTTTATTTTAGTTTTTAATTTTTTTTTTATTTTGAATTTTTTTGTTTATTTTTATTTTATTTTTATTTTTTTGGGTATGTTTTTTATTTTTGTTTATTTATATTTTTATTTTAGTTTTTAATTGTTTTTATTTTTATTTTTTTATTTTTATCTTTATTTTTTATTATTATTATTATTTCTTTTTTTATTTTTGTTTATTTTTATTTTAGTTTTTAATTGTTTTTATCTTCATTTTTTATTTTTTCTCTATCTTTATTTTTATTTTTATTTATTTTTTATTCTTATTTTTATTTATATTTTTGGGGTTTATTTCTGTTTTTTATTTTTGTTTATTTTTATTTTAGTTTTTAATTTTTTTGATTTTTATATTTTTTTATTTTTATTTATTTTTATTTATTTTTATTTTTATTTATATTTTTAGGTCTTATTTTTGTTTTTTATTTTTGTTTATTTTTATTTTCGTTTTTAATGATTTTTATTTTTATATTTTTCTTTATTTTTTATTTTTATTTATTTTTATTTATTTTTATTTTTATTTTTATTTCTATTTTTTGCTCTTATTTTTGTTTTTCATTTTTGTTTATTTTTATTTTAGTTTTTAATGATTTTTATTTTTATTCTTATTCTTATTTTTAATTTTAATTTTGTTTTATTTCCTCTCAAGGCCCCAGTTGTTGATAAGCAGAGGAGCAGTGGGAAATTCCTCCTCGTGTTCTTTCTTTCCGAGTTTATTTTCCTGCTGCTTTCCAGTGTCATCATTCAGATAAAACACTCCACAAGATCATTAAATTCAAATTTAAAAACGATCTGAGGGTTACAAAAATTAATCACAATTTGCAGTATTATAAATTCTATAAAATATATATAAATATATATAATTGTAATGTATAATATGTTCTTATAATATGTAGTATGTTATTAATATATTAATAACACACTATATATTATAATAATATAATATTTCTATTAATATATACTATTAATAGAATATATAAATATTATATATTAATGAATATTATTATTAATGTTAATATAATACATAAAATATATAATTATAACATATAATAATAGGTTATGATAATATATAATATAAATTATAAAATATATATAAATTATAAACAAAAATTTAGTTACAATATTACAAGTAATAAATTATATATAAATATAAATAATTATAATATATAATAATATAATGTTTTATAAAATACATGATATAATGTAAATACAAAATATATATAATTATAAATTCTAAATTGCAATTGTTACAATATGACAAATTATATAATATATAAATATATAGAATTATATATTATTTTATAATATACATAATATAAATATAAACTATATAAATAGAAATTGTAAATTACAATTTAGTTACAATATTAAATTATATATCAATATATATCATTATAATATGTAATATTTTATAATATAGAATATATTATATAAATATCAAATATATATAAATGTAAATTCTGAATTACAATTTAGTTACAATATTACAAATTATAAATTATACAAGATATCAATATATATCATTATTGATATATAATAATATAATTATTTTTAATAATATAGTATAATATAATAATATAAATATAAAATAGATAAAATATATATAAATATAAATTCTGAATTACAATTTAGTTGCAATATTATAAATTATAAAATATAGAAATATATATCATTATAATATCTATTATAATATCTATATTTTATAATATGTATAATATATAATCATAAAATAAATATAAATATAAATTCTAAATTACAATTTAGTTACAGTATTATAAATTATATAATATAGAAATATACATAATTATATAATATTATTTTATAATATATAGTATAATATAAATAAAACATTAAATAATTATTTTAAATTAATATAAATTATTTATAATTATAATTATAAATAATATTATTTATAATACTACTTATATCATTATTTATATTATTTATATTATAAATAATAGAAATAAATGATTGATCATGGATTATTTTAAATCCATTTCTAGGAATTTAAACCAAATTTCCTGCATTTTTCAGCAAGGAAAAGGA